GTCATAATTTCAGTTCTACGATTGACTTCAAATCCATTAAAACATAAAAATATTTCATAATCATAGGTTCACCAATGACTTTTCTAATGTGACATCTACCCATTATAGATTTCGGATTACTCAGTATAAACGTATCATCCTCAGCAATAACGATTTCAATAAAAAATTACAAAGTAACAAATAATGAAACTATGATCTGACCTATATTTTTTTCAAAAATGTATACAACTGCATATTGTCGCGAGAAAGTTTCGTTTGTATAATTTAATCAAGAAATATGTTTGAAGGAGATGATTATAATGATAATCGAAACATCATCACGTGTGTTTGTACTGTCTTAATGAATCAAAATTATTTCAATTACCATTGTCTTGCGAAGAATGCTGTTCTTTTCCTTCACATTCTGTATGGCCTGTTTCCGCACGTGGAACTTTAATGGTTTCTGAAAATGTATTATAATAGTTGTAATTCAAAACGGTTTATAAGGAGGCAAACGCCTAAACTATTATAACTTACTTTACTTGGTTTTAATATTCGAAAATCGAATGGAGCAGCTATTTTTTAGGATTCATTAGAAGCATTTTTGACGTTCTGTGTACATTATAATTCTCTCTCTCTTGTATAAAATATATGAGCTTAAATTTATTTCAGAAACATTATCGGAAATTTTGGAGTTATTTTGCACTAAATTTTATGATAGATAAAGTTTATTATTCAACAGTGTGTTGGAAAATCAAGTAATGTAAAAATCATGATATTTTACATTAAGCGCTACCTTCTTTACGTGTTAAGCATACATACTCTTGTAAGAAGTGTTAAAAGTAAAGTAACTAGTGATTTATCGAAGATTATGTTTTAATAAAAATACATTAAGACAATTACAGACAGTGCTTAATTTATTTTTGAAACCCATATGAAAACATATAAACCTAGATTAATGTATGTACAGTTTTTAAACAAGAAAGTATCCAAACCGGGAGGCTTTACAGAAAATTTATAATTTTAAAAGTACGAAGGTATTATGGATCAATGTTTATTTGTGATAATCATTATACTTGCACATAATATAGCATCTGAGTGTGAATGGTTTGTGGTGTTATAAGGTTACATCATTGCGAGAAAATGAGACAACATTATTTGTAATTATTATTGATTGTGCAAAAAAGGTTCTAAGCATTATTTGACAAAACTGCTTGTTTGTGTAATAAAATTAAGAAATATGCTTGAAGTAGAAAGTTAGGTAATCAAAACAAACATATTTTCAGTAAGCATGTTTGTATTGTCAAAATGAATCAACATTATTTCACTTACTATTTCCTTGTACAGAATCCGGTTCTCTGTCATTACCTTTTGTAGAGCCAGTTTCCTCGCATGCAACAGGACTAGTTTCTGAAAAGTTATATGTAACAGGGACACAATCTGTCAGTCTTTATTATATGTCATTAAGAGAGTTGTTTCCCTTGGACCAGTGTTATTCTATGGGTCAGTGGTTATGATTTCCCGCCAGGTTGATCATGTGACTATTGTGTTCAGTTGAGCTCACGTTTTTGATGAAGAGAAATGTACATTGTCCTCATGACTTTTAAATTTTTGTAATTTATGGAATATCAGTATTATTTATAAGGTAAATAAAGTTTAAACTGCTTTTGATGATTTCCAAAGCATTAAGTATTATTTACCTTAATGTTGTTTTTAATTGAATTATGATAGTGAATTTAATAAGTGGTTGCTGTGTCTTATTTTTGGACTCTAAGGACTGGTTTAATATTGCAGTATCATATCTTTCTTTTCGCAATTAGTAAATAAATAATCTCACATTCTATTCAAACTCTATGCACATTGTTTACTATAATTTGCAGGATAATAACAGCACACTGGAGAGAGAGAAGATTGTAAATTGTATATGTGTTGATGTAAACACTTAGTTCCATAAACTGGTAAGTGTGATATATTGTTGTAAATGTATTTATAAGTGTTTTATGATATTGTATGATAAAATGTGTGATGTTAATTAAAAGCCACTGGAATGATTATGATTGATTGATTTATGCAATTGATAACGATTGATTGATTTATGCAATTCAAGAATGTTAAATGTAATATATACTTAGAATGTGTTATGTATTTTCAGAGTGTAGTTACCTAGAAAATTGCTTGTAATTGTATTTGTCTAAGATACATGCTGTGTCAATGAAAATAAAAGAGATACAGAACCTACCAAATCCTTGACTTTTATTCACCCTTTCAAACTGATAAATTTCAAAGGAGTTACATTTTTAAGAAAATTACGAAACGTTTACAGAAGAGGCAATGACATTAACTATTATAACTGACGTAACATAGTATTGATATTCGAAAATCAAATGGGACGACTAATAATGAGCTCCTATTGAATGAAGTTTTGGACGTTCTTCTTTACAGATTCTATTTCTCTCTGTTTAATTTAAGATACTGGATTAAAACGTCGATAACTGTTACCAGAACAGTGGCTTATTTTTGTATAAAACTTCATGATAGAGTAAGTCTCTTATTCAACAATTTGTTAGAATATCGTGCTACTTTTAATTTTCACCAGAAGATTTCGTTGTAGAAGAATTGACAACATTGCCTTTTTGTTTAATTGAATCAAAAATATGTTTTAAGCAGATAATTGTAGTAAAAATCATAACATGTGTTTTTTCAGCAATAGTTTTTGTATTGTCTGAATGAATCAAAATTATTTCACTTACTATTTTCTTGTAAAGATTCCTGTTGTTTTTCAATACATTCTGTAGGAGCTGCTTTCTTTTGTGCAACCTTATGTGTTTCTGAAAATGTATAATAGTTTTTATACTAAGAAAGAAACTAAAGTAACGTTTTAAAATGAGGCAATGGCCTAAACTTATAAAATGGACATAACTTAGTATTGATATTCGAAAATTGAATTGTATGACTAATAATTAGCACAACTACATGATACTACAATGATCATTGTTCGGCAATGAATATGTTCATTGCAAATGTAAACAGTTTAAATCATTCAAAATGTTATTTCTAAAAGTATTAATTGACGCCAGATGGGTTAGTTTTAGGATTTGACAAAATTAAATAAAAAAATGTTTGAAGTAGATAATCATAGTATTTTTTTTCAAGGATTGTTTTGTTTTTGTATTGTCTAAATGAATCAAAATTATTTCTCTTACTATTTTCTTATAACGAATTCGGTTATTTTTCCTTACATTCTGTAGGACCTGTTTTCTTTTGTGCAACCGTAGTGGATAATAGTTTTTATACTAAGAAATATACTAAACGTTTTAAATTGAGGCAATGGCCTTAACTTTTAAAATGGACGTAACTTAGTATTGATATTCAAAAAATGAATTGTGTGACTAATAATTAGCACAACTACAATAATATTTGTTTGGCAATGAATTTGTTTATTTCGAATAAACACAGTTTTAATCATTCCAAATCTTATGGTGTTTCTAAAGGTTTTTATTGTCGTCAGAAGGTTTCGTTGCAAAATTTGACATCATTGCTTATTTGTTTAATTGAATCAAAATTATGTTTTTAGAAGATAATTGTAGTAAAACTCATAACATGTTTCTTTTCCAGGAATTGTTTTTGTATTGTCTAAATGAATGAAAATTATTTCACTTACTATTTTCCTGTAAAGAATCCGGTTCTTTTTCATTACATTTGGAAGGACCTGTGTTCTTTTGTGCAACCTTATTGGTTTCTGAAAATGTAAAATTTTTATACTAAGAAAGATACTTAACGTTTTAAAATGAGGCAAAGACCTAAACTTGTAAAATGGACGTCACTTAGTATTGATATTCGAAAATTGAATTGTGTGACTAATAACTAGCACAACTACATGATACTACAATAATATTTGTTTGGCAATGAATTTGTTCATTTCGAATATGTAAAGTTTTAATCATTCAAAATCTTATGGTGTTTCTAAAAGTATTACTTGTCGCCAGAAGATTTTGTTGCAGGATTTGACAAAAGTCAATCAAAAATAGTTTTGAAGTAGATAATACGAGTACATAGTAAAAATCATAAAATATTTTTTCAGAGCTTGCTTTGTTTTTGTATTGTCTAAATGAATAAAATTTATTTTACTTACTATTTTCTTGTAAAGAATTCTGTTCTTTTTCATAACGTTCTATAGGAGCTGTTTTCTTTTGTGCAACCGTATTGGTTTCTGAAAATGTATTATAGTTTTTATACTGAGAAGGATTAAAATGAGGCAATGGCATAAACTTTTAAAATGGGCGTCACTTAGTATTGATATTCGAAATTGAATTTTGTGACTAATAATTAGCACAACTACGTGATACTATAATGATCTTTGTTGGGCAATGAATATGTTCATTTCGAATATACACAGTTTTAATCATTCAAAAACTTATGGTGTTTCTTAAAGTTTTTATTGTCGCCAGAAGGTTTCGTTGCAAAATTTGAAATCATTGCTTATTTGTTTAATTGAATAAAAATATGTTTAAATCATATAATTGTAGTAATAATCATAACATGTGTTTTTTCAGGAATTGTTATTGTATTGTCTTAATAAAACACAATTATTTCACTTAATATTTCCTTGTAAAGAATCCGGTCCTTTTTCATTACATTTTGTAGGACCTGTTTTCTTTGGTGCAACTTTATTGGTTTCTAAAAATGTATAATAGTTTTTATACTTAGAAATATACTAAGCGTATTAAAAAGGCAATGTTCGGCAATGAATATGTTCATTTCGAATGTACACAGTTTTAATCATTCAAAATCTTATGGTGTTTCTGAATGTATTAATTGTCGCCAGAAGATTTTGTTGCAGGATTTGATAAAATTTAATTAAAATATGTTTGAAGTGGATAATATATAGTAAAAATCATAACATATTTTTCAGGGATTGTTTTGTTTTTGCATTGTCTAAATAAATAAAAATTATTTCACTTACTATTTTCCTGTAAAGAATTCTGGTCTTTTTCATTTAATTTACAATCTGTAGAAGCTGTTTTATTTTGAGTAACCTTATTGGTTTCTGAAAATGTATAATAGATTTTATACTAAGAAAGATACTAAACGTTTAAAAATGAGGAATGGCCTAAACTTTTAAAATTGACGTAACTTAGTATTGATATTCGTAAACTGAATTGTGTGACTAATAATTAGCACAACTACATGATATAACATGATATTTGTTCGGCAATGAATATATTCATTTCGAATATACACAGTTTTAATCATTCAAAATTTTATGGTGTTTCTAAAAGTTTTAATTGTCGCCAGAAAGTTTCGTTCGTAAATTTGACAACATTGCTTATTTGTTTAATTGAACCAAAAATATGTTTTAAACAGATAATTGTAGTAAAAATCATGACATGTGTTTTGTCAGGAATCGTTTTTGAATTGTCTAAATGAGTCACTTACTATTTTCTTGTAAAGAATCCGGTTCTTGTTCATTACAATTTGCAGGACCTGTTTCCTTTTGTGCAACCTTATTTATTTCTGAAAATGTATAATAGTTTTTCATACTAAAGTTACGAAACGTTTTGAAGAGAGGTACTGGCCTAAACTTTTTATAATTGACAAAACTTAGTATTGATATTCGAACATCAAATTATGTGGCTAATAGTGAGCATTCATTGAAAGAATTTTGGACTCTATACATTCTATTTCTCTCTTTTATTTATATAATATTGGATTATATTTACAGAAATTTTTGAGTAAATGAATAAAGTAATTTCACTTACCATTTATTTTTAACGAATCTGGTTCTTTTCCATCACATTCTGTAGGGCCAGTTTTCTCACGTGCAACAGTTTTTGTTTCTGAAAAGTAATAATAGTTTATAAGAAAGTTACGAACCGTTTGCAAAAGATGACTATTAATTTAATCATTAAACTTTTAACACTTACGTTGGTAACATTCATTATTTGTAACAATTACCGGGTTTTATTTATACATATGTATATATAAGATAATTTGAAATACACACGTATATAGACTTTGAAAATCTCAAGTGAAGGTCTAGCTTAACTAGCTTTATAACAAATATTGCCGTCAATCTAGGATCTGGTCTTTGCAACCTGATTGTTATTTTTATCTCATATTATACCTTTACTACCAAATTTGAAAAACAATGCAAACCAGTTTCGAATTTCCGATCATTTTCTTTTTGTTAAAAGACACATATTATTTCAATTTGGTACTGGATTTTAATTTAAAAAGAACGACACTTAAAGGTCACTTCGAAACTTCTATATTTTTGATAATATCCACGCAAGTTTGAATTAGCCTTTATCATTCTGTGAATAGTATTCTCTTTATAAAAGTTTTTTCGTTCCATAAGCTTAATAACCACTTGGAACACATGATCATTCTAATAAATTTCAAAAGTATAAAAGTGCATGTTTGTAGACTTTACATGGCTCAAGTTTTAGAATTTTCAAACAGCATTGGTTTTGTTTGATGGTGGTCGTAGAATTGTGGATTTTATGCAACCAGTACTATTGATATCAGACACTCGGAGGTTTTTCAAATTACACTCTTCTCAACATTTTGTGTATACTATTGAACTTATCTAAGGGCGTATTTTAAAAATCAAGCAATTGAAGCGAACATGTTTTGATAAATATACTTTAATAAAAAAGGTATGAGATGGTCAACAAGAACTGTCGTTGGAAAGAGACAATGCCTGAAAGCAGGACTAAGTAGAGTAACAATGACCTTGGCTTGCACCAAAGGCATGGTTACTATATAAAGAAATTTTCAATGACATAGAAATATTGAAAAATATTGAAAAATATTTTCTTATATACGTAAAGATCCTATATGTTGTAATTAAGGTTGTTACCACATTTTAGTAAAAATTATATATATTTATATGCTTCTAAAACAATTTTCAAATATCGAATATCGAAGAATATGTAAAATATGTACTGCAAATATTCTTTCACATTATATGTAATAATTAAAATATATGCAGTCATTTCTTATTGAAAACTGTGACTCAGACTTTACAGAAAAAATACTTCCCTTTATTAGCATGAAATGTAAATTCGGTAACATCATTACACATAATGCTTTTTGGAACTTACAATATTGATAAATCTGCATTTGAGCATTATATTTATGATATAAAACCATTAAAAATGGTGTTACATGACCTTTAAGACAAATTATAAAACATAAAATCCGTGAATGAATGAAAAAAAAATAGTGACAAGACACAACTATCGATGGAGTATTTTGACATTGTATAACAATCATCTTTTTATTTGTAGACACGATCTTTAAAAGTGAAAAGTATTCTTGATGTGCCACAGAAGTATGACAAGTTTATTTCAAATAAGTTAATTTATGACTTAATTGATGACTAAATATAAACATCGATGTACATTTATAAAGCAATAAACCCCAAAAGTCCCATGGTGACATTGATCCTTATGCTATAAACATTGTAAAAACATTTTTATTAAAACCTATGCCTATCAATTCACTCTCATATATTGACTTCTGAAATTGAAGTATGAACTGAACACTTAGGGTGGTGAGCTAAAATTTGCTCATTACATATCATCTTAATAAGCAGCATATTTATGTATAACTATTTGAAATCCATCTATGAAGACAAATGTATGCATCTAAGAAGAAAATCTATTCAAAATCGTAAGGTCTGACATACAATTGTGACCTTGACCTTTGAACTGGATATATGGCCTCTATGAACAACACGGCATCTTTTTGTCTTACACATTATGCCAAATTATTATACAATCCAAAAAGAAATGGCAGAATGCTACATAAATCCCCATTTTCGGAGGCATAATTATGACTGAATAATTAGATATCTGGTCGTTTAAGAGTCTAGTTAAGTGAATGACATATTTCTTGGAAGCTAGTTCTAGTAGTGTAAAAGAAGACGAACTATCTTATTGACAAGAATTTTAACTATCAAAAAAGTATAAAGCAAGGACATTATATTCTCTTAATGTTGTTCATTATCTAAATTACTATGAAAGAAAATAGAAATGCTTCCGTTATTATAATTCAACCTCTTGTTTGTAGAGAGTCTGCTCCCTGCATTCCCCTTCCTGCATGATCAGTTTCTGAATCGTCTTTGCCCGCTTTAAAAGACAATATGTTACCTTGTTTAATAATTTTAGTTGTTTGAATATCTCTAACAATATTTAGTCTGTAACAATTATCGAGTTTTATTTTCAATCAAATTGAAGATAAATTGAGTTACTTATTTGAGTTTATTATTTTTGTAAAGAATATTTATCTCATGTGATCCTCTAGGTTAACATGCATCATAAAAAATATTGCTGATAATCTTTGCAACTCTATTGCCTAGCGGCTCGGGTTATATTTCAAAACACTATTAACATGGGGGTCACATGACTTGCCAAACATCTTTATAACTGATGCATATTATCATCTTTATGAATGATTCAAATTGGTTTAAACTAATGTATTTGACATGCATAATCATTCTCTCGCTTTATCAATTTCAAAGTGTAACAGTGCATTTAAGAAGAGTTTACATGGTTTAAGAATTTAATTGTTTTAACTGCATCTTATTGTGTCATATATAAAACTGATATCATATACCCTACAATTGTTCAAGATACACCTTACATTGAATTCCGAATTCTTTACATTCTGCCGAATTCTTGTAAGGGTTTAAGTCACATAGTCGAATTAAACGCTATTATAATGATTAAACTCAATAACAGAGCTATGGGAAAGATAACATATACTTTAAAATATCATTGCATATTAAAAAACCTGCAAGCGCCCACAGTCTAGTCTAATGAATGCAATATATCTAGATAGGATAACTAGTTCTAGAAGTCCTAAAAGAACAAGAACTCCCTTTAATATTTGAATGCTGTCTGGGCAAAGTGAATTCATAGTAAAATTCGATGTACAATTTTGGCAAAGGGAAATCGGTCCAATGACAGCATTGAAAGCAACAACAAAATAAAACAAAATGCAGACCTTAAAAAGTTGCCCCGTACTTATCAAATAATTTCATTTTCAATTATTTGTTTCGCTTTTCCTTCTTTTAAATATACATACATTAAAAATGATTTAAATTCTTTGTAAGAATTCAGGATTGACAAAGAAATAAGGAATCTGCTAAATGTATTTTTACTCAAGTACTAAGATTTCACTTACTGTACACATAAGCATCAATTTTAAATCCCAATATTGCCAATGGTGTCTTGTTAATCATTTCATATACAGCTGAAAAGAAAATGCTAAAATGTGTTTTGGAAAAATATGTCACTGAATGCAGCGAAACAAATCGTTCCTTTTCAGTTTCATACTGAAGTATTTAGTTGTTAATGGTGTTCTGATAAAGCTTAAACTAACAAAAGAATTGTACGTACTAAACACTTTTCTAGACATAGAAAAGACAAAATGATGTGTAAGTGTAAAGTATTATAAGGAAAAGAAATGTTTGAAACAACAAGTAAACCCCATTATGTTTATCTGCTCTTCGTTAGCATTGCAATTTTGATAAAGACTTGTACAACATTTTTAATCGATGTTGTTTTAATGGAGGCATAAAAATCCTCTTTTCCTGTTTATAATGCCGTGATTGCTTTGATGTGAATCTACTGATTCCATTTGAGGAAAAGTGAATGAGTTGTATACATTACTACTACTACTACTACTACTACTACTACTACTACTGCTACTGCTACTGCTACTGCTACTGCTACTAATGATAAAAAATAATAATAAAACCAACAATATTTTTCCTTAAAATATTGTAGACAAAGGAAAGTATATTCCAATAAAGTAATGAAAATGATTTGAACTGATGGTACTATAAAATAAATTATCATACCTGCAGACGTATCAAATGTGACAATGGCAAATCGCTCTTTGGAATTAACAGTCAGCTCCACAACTTTTCCACCACACTCTATCGCGTTGTCAAAGAATCTTTTCAACATAACCCTATTCATATCTACCGATATTTTGGTAAGTTTAATCATTTTTGGCACTTCAGTCAGCGTGTCACTTCCTATAAAGACAATCGAACCAAATCGAAGCTTAAGAAGTTATAAAATGATCGCTTTCATTGTTTCAGTTGAAACCATAATGTTACAGTGCTTAAATAAATAAGCAAGACGAAAACAAGAGTTGTCACGCAAAAGTGACGGATGCCCCCGAAAAGATTTTGTTTGTATTGCTAAAAGGTATTATGAAAAGATAAGAGAAGAAAAGTAAACGAATTGCTTAATATTGTTCTCCTGAAATGAAGTGAATGAAATCATAGTAAAGTTACCACCTTGACCTTATAGGTAGGGACATGGGTTCTGGACTCGGTAAGTCGCCTTGGTGTGTTAGACATTAACGCAAAGTTATTTAAAAATCCTTCAATGCATTACAAAGTTATAGTCTGGACACAAATGTGTAAACTCAACCTCTAAGTGTCACATTGACCTATTAAGAAGTGACATTGGCCTTAGACGCGACACGACTTTATGTGTATGCGGTAGACATTTGTGCCAAATTATTTTAAAGTCTTTCAATGGATGAAACAGTTATAGTCTGGGCAAGAATGTGTACTTTCAAACTCTTCTTGTGAAATTGAGAACATTCAGGCTACAAGTGTGACCTTGGCCTTTGAGTTGAGGCAGGGACATATGTCACAGACGCTACACGTTGTCTTGATGTGGTAGACATTTATGCAAAGTTATTGTAAAATCCTTCCATACTTGACAAAGTTTTAGTCCGGACACAAATGTGTGTACCTTTAAGCTCTAATTGTAAGAATGTTAACTTTCACTCTAAAGTGTAACCTAAAGCTTAATAGGTAGTAATTATATTTACCAATGACTTCTACAGTGACATTCATACCAAGTATAGATTTCGGATTTCTCAACATAAAAGCATCAGCACCTGAAATAATGATTTCATACAAAACTAACAAAGTAATAAATTAAGAAACTATGACCTTACCTATACCTTTATGACAAGGTGTGAAAATATTTATTGATGTCCTACTAGCCAATACAAAATGTACATTATAATCTCAACTAAAACCACGGGAAACCATGACGGACGCGGATGATCTATACGTACAGCAGATAAGATAGTGAAATGTAGAATTATCGTATGTTTCTCATTCAGCAATAGTGCGGACTCGGGCTTTAAATATGTCTTCATGCTTATGCAGATATTTATGCACTGAATTTGATAATTTAAAAGATAAACAAAATAGAAATAAAACCAAAAACACTTCTGGCTATTCTAATAATCAAATACCCAAAATTTTATCAAGTTAACAGAACCCAAAACACAAAAACTTGGTTACTATAGAATTATGGAAAAAAGTACCCTCTTTCTCCTCAAAATCAATTATAGCAAACTTCCCCTTCTGGTCCATTTCGATATATTTCACTTTCCCCCCGCCATTTCTCTCTTCATGTTCAAAGTACATTGCAAGCATCTCTTTCTTTGTGTTTTCTATTAATCCGGAAATTCTTATACGCGGTTTACGTTGTAGTTCCACAACATCTGGAAACAATATAATTTTAGCATTGTACATGAGACAGCAAACAAAATAACAGGACTAAATAACTGATGCCTCTTTTATATTGCAGTTGCATAGTGAATATAAATAGTAGATTTTTTTTAAAAAGTGTAACTGCCCATTTGACGTAAGTTTCTTTTTGCGGACATACTGATAATGACACACATATTATTATTATTGTCAGTGTAGTTTTAGTAAGTAAGAACGGTTTCTACGTACACGTAGTTCGTATGGAATAAAATACTTTTTCGTGATTAAGATTAAGCTTTAAAGTACAGTCAATTTTCATGAATAGTTAGTATTTCATATTCAAAGTTCTGCGTTGCACTATCGATAAATTGGAAACACCACTGCCATTTTAAATTTTCCCTAATCAAAAGACTCTCTTGTTCAACGACCACCAGTTTCAATTGTCCAGATGACACATCGTAAACTTTTACTACTTTTCCAACAGATATAATTCATGGAAATAGGTTATTGTTTTCGAGCAGTTAGATAACCGTGTCTCCATCGCAAACGGAAGTCTTCATTGACGTTGTGTAATGTAACTTGTTTTCCAAGGCTCCTATTTAAGTCTGTTTCATTCGTCATTATACGGTAATGTAGTAATGAGTCACCCATTTAAATGATTGGCTGGTGTTAATGGTTCTGATTCTGGACGAATACCATATTAGTTTGTTGAAATGTCAACATGTCTGTGTTTGTATTGTGAAGTAGCTGGCACCGTGATACGGCACTGGAATTTGAGTTTGGTTGTTTACCAGATTTGCCGCAGATGCTCGAGTGATGTTTCCACACAAATGTTTTTTTTTTATTCGTATGATGTATAACCTTTCCGCACTCGTTTTGGAATAGTTCATCATTGCAAAAAAGACAAACTTTCGTGATTGTTTTCCAAAAAGAGTAAAACGTTCATTTTTACGTTCATTTTTCTGGTTTCAGAAGAGAATTACGCTATGGGAATATGAACTGTTCATATCAGTAATAGAGATACATCACTTTATAAAAGAAATTTCCTAAAAATAGCTTACCTTAACTCTTGCAATTTCCATTCTACACGATGTTCTCGTGCCATATTTGAATTTTATATGCCAGGTAATTATTGGTATTAATAAACTACTGTAAAGTTTCCTGTCATTGTCCATGTGATTCTAAACCTCAAATAAAAGTTTCTCTTTCATATAACAAACTGCTAGGTCTCGGATGGTCAAATAAGGATTGCATATATCTATGAATTTACTTCTGTGAAAGTTGAATAGCTAAGTACGTGATTTGAATCGGGGGTCTTTACAAGAATAACTCACGCGATTGATTTGTTCAAGGTAAGTTCATTAAAGAAAATCGCATGTTTGCAAACCCTTTTGTGTTATATCAATTGGCTGTCCACGAAGTCTGGTGAATTTCGCTGATTTCGGGTTTAATATGTTTCCATTGCAGAATATCATTTATCTTGAATGAATGTGCTTAACTCAAAACATAGATTTGTATTGGAGTATCAAACCATGATATAAACACCTTATTTATGTTTTCTGTGGTAATTAACAAGTTAAATTATAAAAACAGTAACTAGCCTACCGAAAATATCTACTTCTACTTCAAAGCCGAAAATAGATAATGGTCTCTTATTCATAACTTCATCAACAGCTGAAAAACAGGGCTATAATTGTAAAGGCAATCTTTGGTAACCATTTCCTTTTTCAATATTTATATACATCCCTATATGTTGATTATATGTTAATCTATCAACCATATTAGTGCGTTTCTAGAGCCGCTTGTTTAAATACTAAAAATATGTATATTTCAATGTGTTTCTTACTTTTTACTCCTTATAACCATGTACTCAAAAAAAACAAGATGATTTAAAAAGAGAAAATTCGCGAATATTTCATAATCATAATTAAGTTAATAAACAGGATACGTAACCTCTTTGCAATCTTATTGCACTTACTCTATTGTTTTGATTTTTATCGAAGCTCAATAAATATTATTTCATATAATATTTAAAAAATAGACAAAAAATGAAAAACCGCATATGCTCCAAAAGGTTTTAACTTAAATCTCATACCGGCTGACTTGTTAAACTCAACAATGGCATTACACTCGTTAGCGTTCACTGTCACGTCAACCACTTTTCCACCACACTCTATCTTGTTATCGAAGAACATTGACAGCATCTCCTTATTTATGTTAGCCGCAAGTTTGGAGATTTTGATCATTTTCGGCCCTTCTGAATCATCTCCTTAATATAAAATGTTAGTATCAATACTCACAATTTTAGACAAAATATATTTTCAATATCAAAACTGTCAGCTGATATTATGTTATTAAATGTAAACAAACACAATCAAACTGTTTGAACCGGTTGAAAATCTGAAGTTAAACTATGCATTTGATCTTGTTATCGACATCGATGCTATATTAGAGCAGTCCAGATAATATATTAGTTTTAAGGGTAAGAACATTATTAATCGAAGTCATTAATTTTATAGTTTCAACTTCGTTAGATAGAGTATTTTCAACAACTCTAATTGTTCCTAGCTAAAAACAAATAGAAGCATAACGAGTGCAAACTCAATAAAACATGGTATAATAGATGTAAAAAGTACCTTTTTCCACCGGACCTGGGTTTGGTTCAACACCAGCAATCATTAAAAGAATGCCGATAAAAAGCAAACAGCCAACATTTTTTAGGCCATTGCTAATTTTTATGTTTGTGACAAGTGCTGCAACATCACTACTCCTTGAGTGTCTGTAATTTTTGATAGCTTCACCACACAGAGAATTCTTGTGAGAGCCAATTCTAGCTCTGTATGTTTGAATATCAACGCCCATTTTCTCTACATTTTCTCTACAAATGATGGATATAGAAACTGTCAATACATTTGAAAACAATGATTGAAATAAAGTTTAATCCCTATAGGGAAATCAAGGTTAAGTGAGGTATGAGTACTTTTGTGGTGGGAGATGTAAATAAAACACAAATTAATACCATATTGATACTAATCAAATGGTCTAGTAATGTAAGAAGTGAAGAACAATCAATATTGATCTGAAATATTTGCCCAAGAAATACAAGAGCGATCAGTGATCACATATGTCGCCTATTGATGGCCAATTTCATGTTGGGACAAGTTTTGTGACAGACGGAGAAGTGATCGGAGTAGTGGCGACACAAATTCCTGTAAAGTTAGGATAAAATTGCCCCAGTAGTTTATGAGGAGTAGTGGGGACAAGTTTTGTGACAGACGGACAGACAGACAGACAGACAGACAGTGCACAACTAGACTTGGTACTGATCATTCATGTAAAGTTTGGATAAAATTGCACCAGTAGTTTATGAGGAGTAGTCCGGACAAGCTTTTGTGTATCTGGCAACACACAGAAAAAAACACCTTTTTATCAAAGGGCCATAACTCGGCCAAAAATCATTCAACCAAAAAACCCGTGCAATATGCGCAAGGACTTGAGCTACAGATCAATCCTGTAAAGTTTCATTGAAATTGCATTAGTGGTATAAGAGAAGTAGTCCGGACAAACTTTAAAAATAAAAATCATTAAAGGGCCATAACTCTTACAAAAATCATTGAACCGAAAATGCTGACAATATGCACAACTAGACTTCGTACTGATCATTCCTGTAAAGTTTGGATGCAATTGCACCAGTAGTTTATGAGGAGTAGTCCGGACAAGTTTTGTGACGGACGGACGGACGGACAGACAGACGGATATTCCAACATTTTGGGTTTAAGGGCTATTTTCTTTGTTATTTTCTTTGTTTTCTTAAGGGCTAATAGCCCATAAACCCTTTGATCATGGAATGAACCTATTGTTCTCTTTTGTTCTCTTTACTGTTATATAGCCCCTTAACCCAAAATGTTTGCTCGGACGGACGGACGGAAGTACCAACTTTTGATATTTAAGAGGTAAATCAGCTCATAAACTACACCTGGACCAAAGTCCATGTGCAAAATCAGCTCATAAAATAAAAAAAAAATAGCTCTTAATTTGAATTTTATGAGCTTTTGTTCTTTATTTAACTACGGAATGAAGCTCATAAATATCAAATGTTTGCTCGGACGGACGGACAGACAGACGGACAGACAGACAACGGAGAAGTGATCCCTATATGTCCGTAGAGGCGACACTTAAAATAGTATATAATTATATAATATACATTTACAATAGCTATAATTTCATTTACGCAGTAATGATATAAACTACTTGTAACAAACTAATAAAAACGCCTTGATATTTGTCAATATGGGTCCATTTTGCCAGAGTATAAATGCACTTACCCTGAATTCATATGTATCACATCATTGATATTACACATTTCACTATAGTACATTAAATTTATTATGTTATCGTATCCTATATCTTATTTTTTATTATTTCATATGTGCGTCATATGTTCAATTATCTACGGATATGTCCTGTATATTTACCCAATAACCTGATAGTATCTTCTAATTATGTGATTGTGTCTCCTATTTATACTTATGTCATATGCTATAGTTAGAAAGATCTGTGTATCTTAATTATTTGATAGGTACGCCTAAAAGGGTGAAAGTGTTTCAGTTAAGTCATAATAAGAAAACATTAGCTTATTTGTCATTGTTAGTAAAAGACACGTCCAATTAGGTAAAACTATCTTATATTTGGGTGATATATAACTTCTAATTGAGTTAAAGTATTTCCGAATAAGATAAAAACACCAGACTATGGCATTAGGACGTATCTGTAGAGAATTGAAGATAAAACACAAATTTTGAGCGATTAAGTTAGATCAACATTTTTCTTCCTTTCACACGGAACAGTAATATGGTTTAAAGACCTCAAAAGAAAGCAATTATAAGCACAAAGACAATCCTATTAGATATAGGTCATTGGGCCAGCTTTTTGTAGAAGAACATATGTGTTAAATTAAATAACAAAATATCGTTTTCTTTCAATAATTTTTAAATTTTATCAATCTTATTGAACAACGAAAATATGCAATAACTAGCATAAAAAGGTACGAGTCCAAATAGTAAAAACTCCAGAATTGTATGTTTCATCGGACAAAAATAGTATTAGGAATGTATTCAAGCCACCCAGGTTTCAAATTGATATTGCTTATGCTTCTTATGTATTCCGCGGGCAAAATGCTAATTTGAAAATTACAAACTTTTTATACAAACCCTACGGTGACACTTCCGGGACTAAATTCGTTTTTTTTTCGAATTATAAATTCGTTTTTTACGGAATATTATTTCATAATTACGAAAAATCAATTCGTTTTTACAAAATTTTATTTCGTAAAAGCGAAATGTTATTTTGTAATTACGAAATATTATTATAAGAAAAGAATCCTGTGAATAGGTAAAATGGCCTAGTATATCTTAACGCGTACTGTATAAAACTTAGAATTATCGCTTGATTAGGGGCAAGTTACACAAACGGTCTGTCCCCAATCGGTCATTTAATTTTAAATTTACTCGCTGTTATGATCGGTTGTCATGCGTGATTTTATTTCTGGTTTTCTGTGTAAACGGCCATCGGTGACAGACAGCAAACTCAAACGGGGTTAGATTGGTGATAAAAATGCTGAAATACTATCGATTTTTTATCGTTTGTAAATCGGAGCTAAATCGGGCGTAACGCTGATTTATCGGTGTTTGATAGCTAGTCATCAGTAGTTAAACATTTTCCGTCAGATATGGCCGGTGATTCATATTTGATTATCTTGTCCGATCGGCAATTTCGGTGATTAAGAGCTTGCATATCTCGTGATATAAGTTGATGTCGGTTATTTGTAAAATATTTTCACCGATCGAGAATTTTAAACATGTTTAAAAATCCTAATCGGTAATATTTCACCGATAAAACTTATCTTTCCCTAATTGCAGTTGATTGGCGGAAAACAGGTGACCAATAGGTGAAATCGGTATTAAATACGTTGTCATTGGTTCACTCCATAATTTGGCTTAAAAAACTACCGATCAATCACCGATGGCTCTGTGTAACTAGAATGTTACAGAGTTGCCGCGATAGTCGCGATAGTACATGCGCTTGGAAAATTTTGAAAAAAAAAAATCTGGGGTCCAGGTGTTCAAATCCAGACACGGACACAATTCTTTTCTGTTTCTTTTTGTCGAATTTATTGAGTTTTGTAACATCTTTTTATGATCGCATGGTACCCATACCTTAATGTCATGGAAATATATTTTAATGATAATCTGGAGGCGAGCCCCTTTAAGTTTAACTAATGTGTATGATCAAAGAAAGTAATGATATAGTCTGTTGCTTTTTTTAAAGATACATGTACATGACAGAAAAGGTTAATTGTCTCAGAAATAAAGCATTTTTATATTTTGCCAGCTGTTCGGGATATGTTTTTTGTTATTACATAATATAAAGAAAATAAATTCCATTTAGAAGTTATAATTTATTTCAAATGTAAACCCTTACCTGCTACTTAAAATTGCAAACAGCTTCTAACCAATCCTAGATTTAAACACTAGGTGCTCTTGTTAGTTAATGACAACCTAAGCCTTTTGAATCTATTTTTTATGTCCTTGTTAACTTGATTAGATACCATAACTTGATAAAAGAGGGGCGGTCAGAAAGCTCTTTAAAATTATTACAACTTTCTCCTTGTGAAAATAAACCTATTTCAAATAGTTTGATCATACAAAACATGAATTTTTCAGAGAATTTTTTAATATTCTTTTATAACCATTATTTGCAACTAATGGAATTGGCAGATACTAAATATTTTGCTGAAAAGTGATGTTTACAATCATGGCTAATCGAGCAGCAGTTATAATTTAAAAAAATCAAAACATGAAAATCTAATTTCAAAGTCCCTTTTGACAAAAGATAAACCTGTTGATGAAGTCGAACGTTTCTCAAAAGAAACTAAATGTACACTGGATTTGTAAGGCCATAAAAGACAACGTAATTCCTAGTAAAGAAAAAATCCTGCCTGTGCTTCTATCTAAACCCCATACGTAGCTACCAAAACCTCGATTATTTTACAGTCATGTTCAACGTTAACCTTGTGTACTCAATAAAGTTATACCACTGGAGTTGTCCACACCATTTAAACCTCTCTCTTTGTAATGGTATAACAAAACTTAAAGAGCAAGCTGTTTAAAAGTAACACAAATAAAAATATTTGAGATTGGCATCAACACATGTTTACCATGAATGAACAATTTATTCATATTTACATCTTGGCCTTACGATTGGTTTGAACTTTTTTAAAAGTAATTAAAACCTGAATATATCTATCAATTAAAATATAAAACGTCATTATTGTTGGAAAGAAAATTGAAGGATACTAACAACCTGAAAATATCGTTCAAAAACATCCAGTGGCGCCAACACTTTGTGAAGCTGAGTTATTTAAATGTTATCTGCTTGAAACCATTTAGTTTATTTGTCTCATTTCATGAAATTCATATCTAGTTTTTCTTATACGTGTCAGATCTGATTAAAGTTTCGTTAAAGATTCTTAGGATAAAAAGCCTTTATTTTTACACTTGATGAATAAGTTAAATTGATGTAATGCAAAGAAAAGATATTTCAACTTTGCAATATTAAAGGGTCCCTCCTTTCTATGTAACACGATAAACACCTGAGATAAGTACAGAAGTTACAAATAACAATAAAATTAGGACATCATAGTGACAGCTTTAGCTGTCATTATGATAAAACATTTTGTATTGATCAGAGATAAAGAGATTGTAGGCTCCGGTAGATATGTGTATTTCATTATCTACGATTTTCGAATTGTGTTGACAAATACTTTTGTGAAGATTCGTATTTATGCCTAATGCGGGACCGCGATTGCTGGTTTTTATTTAAGT